GACCTGCGTAGCACCTACCTACCTGCCTTCCCAGACATCGGAAACACTCTATACAGCGACAAAGCACAGCTGATTAAAACCTGTCAATTCTTTGCCATATCGACAGACCGAAGGGCTAGAACCCAAATGGCCGCTGGATCGGAAAAGTAAAGTAAAGTAAAGTATGGCACTCGCAACACAATGAGGTCACATAAGTGCCAAAGATTTGTTTTAGTAGAGGGTTTTACGACGCTCGCAACTGCATAAGGTCATATGAGCGCCAAGGGGTGGAGGTCAACAGAGAACAAGAGAAGTCCTTACTGGGAATCAGATTTACTCTGCTCATCTCTCTAGAGAAAAATGATGATAGTAAGGATTAGGAAAGAAAAAACAACAGTTCCCTGTTGTAGTTCAGGCACAGTTATGAGCATGACATAATTTTTGAGCCCATTCACAATTCTACTGTGCATTAGAATGAGAAATGTCCCCCTTTTGGGAATGGCCTAAAGACACTTCAGTCATGGCACCACCCCGGGGGGTGCCGAAGATTAGAGGTGTTACTAGATAGTAACATACAAATAAAAGGAGGAGAGATAAGGACAACAGAAGTTTGATAGGAAAGTAGCCTGTAGGAGCGGACCACACCAGAGCATCCGCAAACCACCCACAAACCCACATGTCTGGATGGTCAGCTAGCCCTAAAGGCCACAGAGCAATTACGTAAGTCCGAATACTACTGAGATATACGATCCAACAGCGCCAGCACTTGCAATACAAGTCGATCATATAAGCGCTGAAGATTAGAGGAGTTACAAAAGAGTAACAAACCCACAAAAAAAGAGAGAAAAGACAACACTGACAGCACTGCCGTATGCTAACAAAACTTCTTTAAAAAAAATTCACAGCAGATTCTGAGATTTTTTTAAAAAGGAATTCTTCCAGAATAACCATTTTAAAAAGACATACCTGTGAGAGATGCGACAATCCCTCGTGGCTGCCGGGCTGGCTGTTGGCATAGAACTGACGCTGGAAGTGAGAGAACAGGTGGATGTTGGCCCCACCGTCCGAGGCGCGCCGACCCAACGCGGAAGAGCCTGGAGACATACGCACACACGTATTAGTTTTTGTAAAAGTGTTACGGCTTTGCAACACAAGAAAGTCGTAGAAGCGCCGAGGATTAGAGGTGTTACAAGACAGTAACAAACCCTAAAAAGGAGGAAGAAAGATAAGGACGATAGATGCTAGATAGGAAAGGAGCAAACCACACCAGAGCACCCACCAACCAATCAATCACCCACCCATGTGTGTGTGTGTGTGTGTAACAAGACTCACCCTGATAGGGTAAGGGAGGTCTCAGATAGTGTGTTTCTCTGTATGTGTGTGTGTGTGTATGTGTGAGTGTAAGTGAGCGCACACGAGTACCACCCACAGCAAGACTCACCCTGATAGAGTAACGGAGGCCTCAGCAGGTGGGGGTCCCCAGCCAATGGCACATACGGGTAAGCAGAAAACATAGGGTTGCTGGTGGACACAGGCAGCACGGCCACACCCTGTGGGAGACATCAGGTTACGACCATCAGTGATCATTTCTTTGCTTGCTCTTTGATATTCAAGTTAGAGACAACATATTAAAATATTATGCTCATTAGTGATCATTTCTTTTTGCTCTTTGATATTCAAGTTAGAGACATCATATTAAAATATTATGCCCATTAGTGATCATTTCTTTGCTTGCTCTTTGATATTCATGTTAGAGACAACATATTAAAATATTATGCCCATCAGTGATCATTTCTTTTTGCTCTTTGATATTCATGTTAGAGACAACATATTAAAATATTATGCCCATTAGTGATCATTTCTTTTTGCTCTTTGATATTCAAGTTAGAGACATCATATTAAAATATTATGCCCATTAGTGATCATTTCTTTTTTCTCTTTGATATTCAAGTTAGAGACATCAGGTAATGAAGATCAGTGACCCTTTCTTTGCTTGCTCTTTGTTTTTTAAAGCTATCAGTTCCCGAAAGGTTAGGTAGAAAACATATCTTGTTTGGTTTGGGCAATGAGAAGCACATTGATAAAACACCAGTGTTAATTTCTTTGATTGTTCTTTATTACTTAAGTCATAGTCATAAGCATAAAACTACTGATACTTGTCTTGTTGTCTTTTCTACAATTTCTAAAGGGAAATAAGACACATAAAAACTTCCCCACTGCGTGAACACACGCACGCCGTTACCTATCTCCATACTAAGGTAAGCAAAAACTTCCCCACTTGGTAAACACATGAGTGCAGTTACCTCGGGCATGCCCAGGTCCAGTGGGGGAGGCAAGTGGTGGGCCCCCACCAGCGAGGGAGGGGCCAGCGGGTAGTACGGAGGCAGCTTCCCCCGCATGTCCTCCGAGGTCTGGTGGCGGGTGTCGCCCACGCCCACCGTGTGTCGCCGCATGGCCAGGTAGCGCGCCAGGGCTTCGGGGGACGGCTCCTCGTCCGAGTCCGACTGGTTGCTGTCCTCCAGCTGAGAAAACAATCGTCAAAGATAAGAGAAAAGATACAGGGAAAGAAAAGACAAGAGAAAGGATAAGATGCAATATGGAGAGAAAAGATATGCGGCAAAAAGATGCCACATGAAGAGAACAGATGAGGGAAAAGAAAAGATAAGAGAAAAGATAAGATATAATAGGAATAGAAAATGGAAAAGAAAAGACAAAAGATAAGATGAAATAAGAAGAGAAAAGATAAGGGAAAAGAATGAAAGGAAAAGAGACTATATTCTATAATGACCTACCTAGTATTAGGGAAATTAACGTAAGAAAAGATTTTAAAATATTCTTTATTGATTATCCATTCGACAAAAATTCTTCGTTGATTTTCTATTAGACAAATTTATAAATATACATATGGACCTAAACACATACACTGAATGAAGAGGGAGACATTGAACACCCCCCCCCAAAAAAAACAAAAAACAAGGGGAGGGTGGGACTGACCACACTTTAGAGCACTCACAAATCATTGGCCACTTTGCATAATAATAGAGAGCAGTTACTTGACAGACAAGAGTGAAGAAGAGAAAACAAGTTGAGTTGCACTATACGAAAGCCACTGCATTAACAGAAAAAAAATTTCTACAGGAGTAGTAGAAAATGACAGCTGCAACTCAGCAAAGAAGAAAGAGGTGTGCACCACACAGTACATAAAAAAAAAAATCTGCTTTACATAGAGATACGATTTAAACCAAGTACGGGTACTCTGCACAAACGCACACACACACACAGACACA